CACCAATGTGCGGATCGTATATGATGCGTCTTTCAAGGAAAGTGATAGCTATCCATTATTTAACTACTGCTTGGAAATTGGCCAGCCATCGCAAAATCTTCTATGGAACGTTATCGTTATAGGAAGCGTCTAAAGCCAGTGGCAATGAGTGGAGTTCTTAAGCAAACCTTTCTCCAAGTTCGAATAGGTCCCTCAAGATACTGCAGTTTTCACTCGACCTTGGAACGCCAATTGTTTTGTCGACATGTTTAAACGTTCAAAAAAGTTTTGTCGTCACACGATATACGATGGCGATTTGTGAATGTTGTCTTCTGTCAGAAAAAGGTTCTGTCAGGCGTTGGGCAGAATGTGTTAACCATACTTAGCGTGAGAAGTATAAATATAACTTGAATAACGGATTTTTTATTGAGAAGCATTGTGCAAGGATCAGACACTGGGGGTGAGAGAACCAAGTCAGTTGTGGCAACATGCGTGAAAGTTGATGAGCTCGAATCCATCGATATTAATCGATATTCATCGTACACCAAGTTAGGGTGACAGCAAGAGTTGTTGAAACAGCTCAAAAAATCATAAACCAAGCTTCGAGAATACTGGTTTTTTAGTATTAACGCCAGACGACATCGAAAGAGCTGAAAGTTGTGAAAGATTCTGGATTAACAAAACTCAAGAGTCGACAGCAATTGACCTGTGGTTTGGACTATTCAAGATCCGATACGAAGTAAATAAAAGAACCTTCAGTAAAGCCTTTGGAGTGCCAGATATTCAATTATTTAGCAACCCGAGCAGGCCATGTGGACCTTTCCTCCTGGTCCCTACGATACGAAAAAGTTCCTGATGGTTTTGCGACGATTTGTATCTCTAAGAGGTTACCCAGCCAAGCTTTTACTGACAAAGGGACTCAACTAACAGCCGCCAACGAAGAGCTTCACACAGTGGCAAGAGTTAATTAAAACGACTTTCGAGCCACTTAAGGAATGCAATGGGAATTCACGTCCGCCAGCACATCATGGCAAAATGGATGCTCAGAGGCTCTAAAAAGATTGTGAAGAAAGCATTGATCGTGGCGATAAGTCACAGCACCCTAGCATTTTCCGAGCTTCAAGCAGTGTGTTTTCAAGCTGCAAATAACCTAACGACTTACTCCTAAGTTGCTTATAATATTGCGCCGAGAGCATTTCATGAGTGCAGGTCCTTTTCTAGCAACAAACAATCTAATCCAACAAACACTGATGGTGCCGTGGGTGACGTTGTACCATTGAATTGAGTAAAGCTGGATTACTGGAACGCTACCTTCAGATAAACTGCCTATCTTTTTCTTGAAGTCAATTTCTGACCCCCAGACACGCGTGTCTGGGGGACTGGCCTCCAAGTTTGGCTTCAAATTTCCGGTTGGAGATACAGCGTCCCAGTTATATTCATTTCAATGCATTGTACTTAATATTCATTAGATTCCAGTAAATTAGAGGCAACTGGAAACTCAATCAGGTATCCAAATTCCAAAGTTGAACCCGGAGATAATGGAGACTATCGAGTTAGGAACCAGTAAAGGAATATAGTGGTAATGAGTACCGGTACATTACAGTTTAACAAGTCGTGCACTACAGCTGATTTGTGGTAATCTTACCAGTGGATGATGAGGAAGAAACAGTTTTAAAAATTAGAAACAGTTTTAATTACATTACTCATCAGAAATTATATTAGCCTTAATAAACTTTCATATTAAAACGAATTTATAATAGGACCACAAGTTAGCTTATAGTTCACTTCGTGCTGCCTGCAATACCGTTTAGAACTTATTTTATTTATAATTTTTCCCCACCCTCCCTCCCTCTCTGGGGGTTGGTTACTACTTTCCCAATTCCCATTGTTTTACATTCGTGTTTCCCGGTCGCTGTGGATCATGTTAGTAGGGTTAGCTGGGTGATCTGCCTAGTTGCATTTACAGGGGTTCTCGTCTAGCTATTGCGTTTCCCAGTCGCTGTAGATCGGAGTTGCCTGTTTCGTTAAATGAAGTCGTGTTGCTGCCCGTCGGTTGCACACCTGTCAGTTATTTTGTTATGCGTGTTATTGTCTGGTTATCTTGTCCGTTTCTTGTGGTCGTCAGGGACTCAGGGGCGTAGCTAGAGGGTGTTTGTGTGTGTGTGTGTGTGGGGGGGGGGGGTGTAACACCCCCCATTCATCACATATTCGGAAAATGTCTGCTAGACTCGGCAAATATCTGCTAGACTCGGTAATAGTTATATAAAAAAATGTTACTAAATTAATGAAAAATTACGGAGAGGGGTGTCAAATAACGATATGTCCGGAAAAATTTTTTCGTATCTTGGGAAAAAATTACGATGTTTCCGGTGTAGCGGTCTCAGATTTGTATTTCTTTTGTATTTTTGGAAAAATTATGATATGTCCGGAAAATTTTTTGTATGTCCGGAAAAACTCTGGTGGTAGTAGGAGGTGGAGACTTGTCGAAGCTTCAGGCATTGTGTCATCCTGTTTTAATATTTTTTACGTTTGCACTGCTGACCACACAAGCTCGTCGAGCTTGTTCTCCGGCTATTCGGGATGAACTCTTAGTTTTTTTGTGGCATACTAATTTTTTTAGTACTTATTTGAGTGCCTCCGGCAAGTTCCCTTGTGCTGTAGTTGATCCCAGTTCTTTTAGGTTGTCATGTTGTCAGGGTGCGGGTTATGTGGGGAACCTTGAGGATGGGGTGCATTATATGGCAGGGAGTATACATTTCTATTGTCTGTGCTTGTCATCAATCTTGGGTTCTCAGTATAAATTTAGTAGTTCGGTTTCCACGTGTAGTGTGACGGCAGTGACGCTACGTAGCTCTGACCATGGAGAGGGTTAAACTTTCAGCATCATCATTTATTTTTTGGCACATCTACCAGACAGTTATGCAGGATAGAGTCGGTTTGCAGGGATTTGCATGAACCCTCTCTAACAGAGCTAGACACCCTCCAAATACGGTACAATTAGGCCATTCCTATGCTAGATATATTAGCCTTGTGTTGAGACGAGCGATTGTATGTTAACGATTACATTAACCTTAATAGACCTTCATAATAAAGCTCTCCTTTACGATTGGGAGTGTTGTAATGTGAAATCCTCAGAACAAGTAGAACTGTCCAGCTGATCAGACAGCAGAGGGAGCTTGTCTGCTTGTGGAAGAAGCTTGATGACTCCTGAATGATGAATGACTATAGCCATGTTTTATTGTTGGAAAGTTATGTAATATGTTGTTAGGATATACTGTAAACTGATATTTTAAGAATTAATATAGCTAGCAGTGTCATCATTGCACATCAGGCTTTTAGCCAGTTTCCTAAAAGAGGGCGTCCAGTTTTGGCATAACGATACATCTACAGTAAAGGGGGGGGTTGAGAAAACGTTCCCCTGGAAAACCTTTGAAGTTTACATTACGGTACTTCATGTCAGTATCTGTTCCAAGCTCGTTCAAAATTTTTCAAACACACTTCATGGCTTTGTGAGTTTGTGCCGCTATGCTTCTTTACTTAACTATGACATTTTCATTCAGCCAGGTACACCATCAAATTGATCAAAATGTCAAATGAAATGTATAATAAATAATGAGAATTGAAGCTATTTCGTTTCAGATATATTAATTATACTTAGGAATATAATTGAAAATAATTTCCCTTTTCCCCCAGAATTTGGGCATCCAAAGGCATCCATTTTTCGTTCTAGGGGCATCCCAGGATGCCCTTCTGGCTAAAAGCCTGCTGCACATGCTCATGACATACTGGAGACTACCAGACCTGTATGAACTCTGTTTGAATTCTATTATATGATTTTGCTTGTTATTAACCCTTTAAGTGGCAATGTGCCCTGATGCACTCTGCATTATTATTTTACTCTGCCTAAACACCAGGAGCGGGTCGTTCAAAGCTGGGTTAGCGCTAACCCAAGGTTGGTTAAAATTTAACCCACTGTTTTAGTTTATGTATTTCTGCACACTTGTTTATTTCAAAACTTCAGAGAAGACAACTCCTACTGATCCAGATAAGATTTCTAACAAAATATTTCCAAATTTATAAACAAGCTGTTGGGTTAGTTTGCTTTGAATTTTAGGTTAACCTAGGGTTAATTAAGCTAATCAGCTTTTGAATAACCGGCCCCAGATGATTTTACTCATCTAGAGAAGAGCGCTAGCTGCCACTTTTTACTATTTAGTTTGTAATTTAAATTAAATGTAAATTTATTTAAGTTTTCAAATTGAAATAATTATACTTGTGAAAATGTGGCTAATGAATGAAATAGACTATAGTTGGCAAAATATGTTGTATTATACTACAGTATGGTATAGTTTCCCTTGGGTGGTAGCCTACTGTAGTCTACTGAAATTTGCTCAGGTGATCGATATAGCTGCATGGTCCCAAGTACACACGTCTAATAACTTTGATGATTTAACTATGTCTACATATTTGATTTAACTATGTGATGTCTATAACTTTGATGATTTGATGATTTAACTATGTCTATATAAACTCCACCCAAAGGTGCCCGGCCACCAAAAATAAATTATGACGATTTCATTATGTAAATTAATTTATACACATGCCAGTTTTTTCAAGTCAAAATATGGTAGCTATATAGTTTATTTAAACTTTGATCCAAAAGCATTCGAATTCAATTTTACTAAATTTGATTTCAATTCAAATGTATTAGAATTCGACTTAAATTTGGAAAAATATTTTAACATGTTTTTGTCTGCTGTGCAAGCATAAGGAAGTTATCTCAGGCCTTTAATATAAGCTATTCTGCTCCCCCCCCCCTGGCCCCCTTAAGAATATTGCGGGTGGGGGGGGATGGCCCCCTTTCTCCTATGAATGCCCATGCTCCAAGTCACTCTTGAATTGGCTAGCTTCATTTTTTATGGTCAGTCTGATATGAGATCAGTTTCATTTTCAGCGAGACTTGGAGCAAGTCTACTTTAATATAGTTCAAGGTGGATATATCATATACAGACATATACTTACTTCATACAACTACCAAATGCAATTCGACTAAGAGATTTATTACCATGCTCAAAATCTGATCTGCTTGCTCGATTTTCCAAACATAAGATTTCTTCTTCAAACCAAATTAGAATACCCAATAAAATAAATAATGTACTATTGCAATTAACCATAATTACTGGCTACCTCCAGTCCTCGGCAGGCCTTATTAGAAATTAATAAATTATATATAAAAATTTCACAGTTCCAACCTTTGCAACTGCCTGACGAAATTAGGGAACAGTTTATGGCCTGCACACCAATAACCCGCGAACAGACATACTCTCTCCCAGGCGGAGAGAAGATAATTTCGTGAAGATAATTTCGCTGTTTCGTTTAATTCATTATTAAACGAAATTATTAATTTATTATCCTAAAGGAGGCAGTTCATCACCATAATGTGAATTTATGAATTTCATAATGTGTATGACGGCATCCACTTTCGTGTATTAATATGTATTGCATTTGTTATATAAATAGTCTTATTAACACTAATCCTAACCCTAATTCTTATCGAATCCTAAATCCGAACCTTAATTAATCCTGATCTTAACCCTAATATACTAACCCTTACCCAAATCCTTCAAGATCGTTTCCACATTGACGGATTAAAGAACACTCAGAGTAACATCACACAAGCATCATTTTCTACTAGTCGATTTTGTTTTGAATTCGCGAACAGTAATTTTTACTATTTTACTGAGTAGGAACTGATCCAACAATCACATTGTCCTTGCCTAGATTTGTTTTTCGCTTCGCTTCGCGCGAAAAAATTCTCCTAGTGGAAAATGGGCTTAATTAAGGTCCGTATGCATAGACGGTGAAACAGGATGAACTGGCTGCTGCAAAAGTGGAGGTAATGGGGCTCAGCTAAGTCCCTCCCCCCCCCCCCCTTCTTCAAAAAAAGATCAGAGTAGAAGAACTATGAAGGTGTCAGAATTGGTTGGTGCCTGAAATACTAAATTAACAAAATACAGTCAGTATGCAACTCTCCTGAAGCGAACCAACTAAGGGACGGACCATTAGAAAAGTGATGGGGGGGGGGGGGAACATTTTCAACGTGCACGATTATTTTTTTTTTAATTTTTTGCTGTGTCGATTATTTTTTTTTTATAATCCCTTGCTCGAATTTTTTCGAATTTTTTCGAAAATTCGAGGTGAAAAATTTTTTTTCGTACTTAAAATTTTTATTAATCAATTATTAATAGTTAATTAATTAATTATTATTATTAATTATTTATTAATTTTTTTTTAATTTTTTTTTTATTTTACCAAATTTTCATCAATTTTTTTTTATTTTTCATGCAAAATCGGATAAAGTTGTAAATTTGACAAACATCTTAGCTATGTCATGTGAAAATTTGAGAAAAATTGGTTAAAACCCGCAGGAGCACAACTAGTTTAAAAATCAGTAATTGCCGTAAAATTCTTCGGGAAAAAATTGAATTTGAATATTACATTTTCAATGTTTTTCTTATTGCAAGCGAAATGTATTTTATTAAATAACTCTGCGAGTTTTCAAAATTTTTCGTCCAAACTTGGTCAGATAGTAGAACTA